AGAGTGCTCCTTGGAGGCCAGGATGGCCAAACTTCGTCTCTCATACTTCGGACATATTGCCAGGAGGGACCAGTCGCTGGAAAAGGATACCATGTTTGGTAGGGTGGGAGGTCAGAGAAAAAGAGGAAGACCCCCAACGAGATGGACTGGCCAGCTGGCAGCAACAGTGGATTCAAGCGTGGCAACAATAGTGAGGCTGGCCCAGGATCAGGCAGTGTTTTGTTCTGTTGTGTATAGGGTCGCTATGAATTGATACCTACTCGATGGCACCTAACAACAACAGTAATAGCTGAAAGGAATATAGAGGTTAAAATACTTAAGTGGAGGGGAGAGCTGCAGCTTCTGCTGTTGCCTGGAGCTGATGTCACACAAAAAAGATGGGTGATAGGGGGCCAGAGCCTATTGTAATCCATCCTATGAGACTCCAGGCCATATGCATATGAATGGGGTTGTTCTTGTGGCTAAGTGCTGTCAAGTCAGTATGACCCATAGCAACCCTATAATAAGGTTCCCAGAGGAGCAGCTGGTGAGCTTGAACCACTGACCTTGCAGTTTAAATGACTTTGCAGTCCATGGCATTAACCCACAGCACCACACCAGGATTCCATGAATGGAGTTAGTCCAATGGAAAAGAAAAGATTGAACTTGAATGTTTTAAAAGGTTTCTTTGACTGCCTTAGGGATATTTGTTTCTGCCTATTATTATAAAACAGACATAAATGTATGAGAGGAATATTAGGCATTATGATTACAGAGTGCTTGTAAGCCCACCTTCAGAGAGGAATATTAGGCATTATGATTACAGAGTGCTTGTAAGCCCACCTTCAGCCTGTACTTGACTGGAATTATTAAAAAGGGAGTTACAATTTGGGGGGGGGGAGCAAATGACACATGACCTTTTGTTTTAAGCCTTTGTAGAGTATGTGGCCTTAGGTGGAATCCTAAGCCCCACCCAGAACCTTCAGAATTGGTACATTTGCATTTGAAATGACATACAGACCACCCCAGAACTGCTGGGAGAATATAAGATTTTTATTGAAAGAAAGCCCTGAAGAAAAAAAAACACACTGCTTGTTTGAATTTCAAGCAAGCTGTTTGCTTTGCAAGTCTCAAAGCAAGAAAAGTCAGCCCATCAGGGAAAACCCCTGTCTAGGACTGAAAAGTTAAAGGGAACCCACAAGCAGTCTTAATATATGTTTTCTGGTGACCACCTAGGTCTACTTGTTAATGGAAGTGAGGGAAAGGCAGCAATGAAGACATGAGCTGAGTCTGGACATGTTCCATTGGCCCTGTTGACCATGATATGATAGAAGAGTAAGGGCTGGCTGGTCTGAAGTTTGGGGAATTATGGCAACTCCTGAGCCCATGGGCACTGATCTAACCCAGGGACCAGGGCTGATCAGGAACTGTTTGCAACTGTTTCTTCTCACTTTGAGTAACTATATGCTTCTACAATTCAAAATGACTAATAACAGCTCACTAATGCCTAAGACTCCTGGTGTGGCATTGCAAACTCGCCAGCTGTTCCTTGGAAATTCTATACAGGGTCATTAAGAGTCAGAAGTGACTCAACTGCACTTAAACTCATAGCAACCCTGTACAGGGTTTCCGAGGCTGTAAATCTTTAGGGGGCAAAAAGCCTCATCTTTCTCCCACGGAACAGCTGATAGTTTTGAACTGTTGACCGTGAGATTAGCAGCCCAATTCATAACAACTATGCTACAACAACGACTAGGATATCAATATTTATGTATTCCATTTGATTTTTGATGACTTCCAATTTTCATAGAGTCATACTATGTGCATTCCATGTTCCAATTATTATTGGATATTTGCAGCTGTTTCTTCTCATTTTGAGTTGTACTGCTTCAATAAATGAAGGTATCGATAGCTTTCATGCATCATATGTCATTAAGGTCAACTCTATTTTGATGAGGCAGCTCTTCCCCAGTTATATTTTGAGTGCCTTCCAACCTGAGAGGCTCATCTTCTGGCACTATATCAAACAATGTTCTGCTACTATTCATAGGGTTTTCAATGGCTAACCTTTCAGAAGTGGTCCCCTTCTCCTTCCTCCTACTCAGTCTTAGTCTGGAACCACTGAAACCTGTCCACCACGGTTGATCCTGCTGGTATTTAAAATACTGGTCTCTAATATCACAGAAATACACAATCTACCACAGCAGAACAAACTGTTGGAAGTAGTGTTTAATATCTGTCTACTAGATTGAGTTTGATAAATACATTGGTCAAATATTTTATATCCCTTTTAGTGGCAGCTTATTTTATCAATTACTGAGAGCAGTATATTAAAATCTCTTATTCAACTCAAGGATTTATTAATTTTTCATTACAGTTGTTGGGTTTTGTTTACAAATGCTATTTGTTATCTTGTGCTTTGCACAACACCATCTAACTCTTGGTAACACAGCACATACAGGGTTTGATAAGCAACAGTACTCACCTGTAAGATGGGCGTCGTGCGAGGATCCCGTGGGCTTTCTGTGAGGAGCCTATGCTGTCAGATGAGTCCTGAGACTCCTCGCTTTCAGATAAGGATGATGCCTGAAAGACACAATTCATTTTACTATGATCAACAACAGGTGGGGAAAAAGTTAAATCAGATTTTTAGTTTCAGAAAAAATGATGTTTCCTGCTACCCAAACTCATTTGCACATTAAATCTAAGGTTATTAGTACTAGAACCTAAAAAAAAAGGAAGAGAAATGGAGAACGTATTCCAGGAGCACAAACTAATTAGAGAAACATGTAACATAGCAAATCCAGAGCTAGTAAGAAGTCTACCTTCAAAATAAAGGAATGCTATTTCACTAGAGTTATGAAAAAACAGTACCTGATCTCCACCCGGTTTCTACATTGAGGTACAGTATTCAAAGTCTTGGTCATTTCATAGTATGTCTGACTTGGATTTTGGACATGCTAAATTTGAAACATATATTAGATATCCAACTACTACACTAAGAAGACAGTTGGCTATATTATCCTGAGCTTCAGGAAAATAGTCTGGACTAGTTATACATATTTGGGAGTTGTAGCTCTTTAGATGGTCCTTAAAGTCATGAGAGTAGGTGAGCTCACTAAGGGAGTAACTATACATAGACATGACAACCAAGGGCTGACCAGAAACACACTAACATTAACAAGTTAAGGAAAAGTGTAAAAACCAGCAAATAAGACTGAGAGACAGAGCCACCAGCGAGGTGTCCTAGAAAACTAGTTGATGGTGGTGTACTGAGGAGACAGATATGATCAACTATGTCAAATACTAGTAAAAGATAAAGTAAAACACAAACTGAGAACAAATAATAAGCAAGGTAAGGTTACTAAGAAGTACAGGTATAAACATACAATTTTAAAACTTTAAAGTAATTAGTTTTATCTCATGTCACCATTATAAGTGTTAAAACATAGAATGGGTACCTGGCATATTATAAACATATTAAATTATATATTCTGGTAGCATAGTGGTTACAAATTGGGCTGCGAACCGCAAGGTCAGCAGTTCGAAACTACGAGCTGTTCCATGGGAGAAAGATGAGGCTTTCTGCTCCTGTAAAGATTTACAGCCTCGGAAACCTTATGCAGGGTCGCTATGAGTCGGAACCGACTCCATGGCACATAACAACAACAATTATTGATAAACTTTTGAGAATGTCAACATAATAACTATTTGCATGTTTTAAAGTATAGTACTATTTCTTAATTGATCAATTTATTTTCCATTTTTTTTAATGTATTAAATTACCCAACATTTGTCCAAAGCTGGGTTACACTTGGCTTCATCTTCTTTAAAAAATTAAAATAGCCCAACAAAGTTCTAGAAGGGACATGTAAAATCAATTCTCGACATTTTGTTAAAATGTACAGAAAACTTCCCCTAAGCTATTTAGATTTAGACTTTAAATTTCCAGAGACGTGTGTTGAACAGTATGCAATATACCTTACCATAAAATCTGTATCTTTTGATAGAAAAGAAATAAGGAGTCCTGGTGTGGTGCTGTAGGATAAGCACTTGATTACTAACCACAAGGTTGGTAATTCAAACCTACCAGCCGCACCTTAGAAACACTATACAGGCCACTGTGAGTTAAAACTGACTAGACAGCACCTAACAACAACTACAACCTAGTAAATATTGGTAAATATTAGCAACTATTAAATAATACTATGAAAAAATCTGTCACTTTTATCTTTTCCTCAAAAGTCCTAGGTATTTCATTTCTAATTTAGACCTTTAACTACTTTTATTGTTGTCCCTAAATCTACTTCAAGGCCTCCCACTGAATTCAAATAAGAAAACAGTATCTAAAACTAAGGGATTACTTGGAACTAAGATCAAATATTTCTTTTTAATGATAGCACCAACAAATAAAAGTGAAATCTTATCTAAAGTAAAAACAGCCAGATGCGGCTCCAGAGTTAACAACACTGCCAAATACAACATGTTGTTGTTAAATGCCATCGAGTTGGTTCCGACCCATAGTAACCCTGTATAGTGTTTCCGAAGAGTGGCTGGTGATCTTGAACCACTGACCTTGCAGTTCAAATTGACTTTGCAGTCCAGTGCATTAACCCACAGCACCATACCAGGACCACAAACACAATATAGTCAAAGAAAAAACAACAAGGCATACAGTTTTTCTTCCAAGAAAGCTATTTCTAAATATCAGCGATAACCAAAGGTGTTCTGGAATTCATCAGAGTTGGGATGGGACTTAAGAGAAGAAGAATAGAAAACCCAGCATAGCTCTGCCCTTCCTACTGTTATCAGGTATTATATGAAGGTGCAGAAATACAAATGGGAGCTGTCTTCTACTATGAGAAGTCTCATATTTGACCTCCATAAAACAGAAGGTAGGTATTATTTTACTTGTCTAAGACTCAAACATTATCACCCCTGCACTTCAGAGTTCTACTTTTCATTAATAATACCATTGTTAAAAAAGTTGTTTCCCTTATAAATCTTTCATTGTCTTAAACTCTAAAGCAGTAACTTATCCCTAAATTTTCTTCTACTTTCACTAAGAAGCATATGCATAACACTAGAAAATTTTCAAACTCTTCTATTTACTTTGTAAATTCTATAATCTAATTTCTAAAACAGCTTTGTTATCTTGGTTTATAACATCCCAACTAGACTCATGATATAAAAGTCCCCACAGTCAACCACTAAGCCTTCAAATTTCTGTACCGTTTGCACGTGTGGTGGGTGAATTACAGAAGACTGAGCTGTCTGGATGACCCCCTGAACCTGTACTTGCTCTCCAGGAAGAGGTACAATTGTCACTGGCGCAGATCCTCTTAGTGACATCTAAGAACAAATAAAAAGTCAATTAACAAAATATATATTATACCTATGCATATAAGACAACTGGGTTCTTAACACTAAAACACACATTTCAGAACTGATTGTATTTAATTAACCTATTCACCAAACATTACATACTCTGTAAGAGCCACACACTAAACTAGGGATTGAAAATAAAAATTAATTATAATAAATAGAGTAAGAAATGTAACAGATGAAAGAAGCAAGTACTGCACTGTAGGAGCAAAGAAGGAACGTTAGTTCAGCTCATCTCAAGGATAACCCTGAAAGGATAGCGCTGGAAAAGTATTTCAGGTAGAAGAATTAATTTGCTGCAACATGAAAGTGCTTTAGAACATGTTATTTTTAAGAGATGTACGTGAAAATGAACCAAGGAATCAAGAGTTGAAATGTGATAGAAATACAAATTTGTGGCAATGTATTTAGAATAAAAATCAACTATTTCACGCAGATCATTGAATAATTAAATTAGACTTTATTTCTGTGGAAACCAGATGGGGTTTCATGGAAATATCGCAAATAAAACATTAAACCAAGGAAAAGTCCACCCATCCTTTAAGGCTCAGCTCAAGATTTCTACCTCTTCCAAGTTTCTTTGATATTTTCAGTTAATGCAGATCTCACCTTCCTTTTCCCTTCCACTAAAGGTTCTCTTCTTTCTCAAGACTGGATTAGGATCCAATCTCATCATCTCCCAAAATGCCAAGGCTCATAAAATTTTGCATGTAATAAATCATAAATATATCTTTCAGGCCCCAAATGAAGTTAATGGAGAGAACAATGAAGAAAGACAAATTTATGACAAGATTAACATACTTTTCTAAAAAGATATAAACCATCATTCTTCAAGGGTCTTTCATATCCCATACAATCAGTTCTGTGGGCTTGACAGACAGGTGGAAGAGGGAAAGAGGCACTAGATTGTATTTTAGATAATAGTAGTTTCTTCCTCTTTATTATCAGTTTTTCTAGACTTCCAGAATGGTCATTACTCAAAGTCTCAAAGACTGATATCTTACCATCCCACTCTCAAGAATGATAATCTAAATTCTCATCATAAAAAAGGATTTTTAACCTCAAGTCTAAACCACAAATGTTTGCTTCCACCCATTACTTTTCAGTTCTAACAGAACTTTCTGCAATCAACGCTAATAGAACTGCAATGATAGAATTGTTATATCCAGTACTGTAGCTGCTAACCACATGTGAATATTGAACACTTGAAATGTGGCTAGTATAATTGAGGAACTGATTCTATTTTTAATTAAAACAAGACAGCCACTGTGACTACTGGCTACCATATCAAACAGTGCAATACTACATCTTTAAAGTTGTAGAAGCTGCTAGAGCACTATGGCCCCAACCTTAGGCCCTATCTCAGGAAACAATGTAAGAGATAAAAAGAAAAAGATTGTTCTGGAGCTGTCTGGTTAAACTGGAATCTACTCCAGTGTGGTAGAGCAATCTCAAAGTTCCTCTTATATAACTGAGTTGAGTGAAAATTACCACAATCTTTAATTACCTAATTAGGTGACTCGGCACTGTAAACACTTGAGCTAGGGGGAAGGAAGGAAAAGGAGAGGAAATAGTGGGATATGCAAAAGAAATTTCTATTTAACCACAATTTGAATACAAAATCTTCTAATTCCAAAAAAGCACAAAGACTTTCAAGTCAGACAGGCTAGGCTGATTTTCAGCTAAAAGGACTCACTAGCTGTGTGATGTAAAGCAAATTATTTTACCTCTCAAGTATTTCATCTCCTCCTTTGTAGAAAAAAATGCTACTATTTTAAACTTAAGTGAGTAATATACTAAAAACAATTAGTGGGTAGAAGGAACCTACATGTAAGGTTCTTATTTGGTCCTGATTCAACAGTTTCTTAAAATGTGTGTGAATAGATACTTGATGATATTTTGAAAACATTTTTTGGTGGTAACAATAATATTGTGGTTATGTTCTTTAAAGAAGTCCTTATATTTTAGAAATACATGTTAAAAATTTTAATACTGAAATGGTATTATCTAGGATTTGCTTCAATATAATCCAACTGGTGATGAAGAGGGCAAGAGCCATAAGTATGTAATGGCTGAAACTGGGTGATAGGAAACATGATGGATCACTTATTCTGAAAATGCTTGAAAATTCTCATAAGTCTTTTGAAAAGTACTCAGTAAACACATAAAAAGTGGTTGGTGCTGTCAGGCTTCCAAGTACA